TTTATTTATTGTTTTAATGTGTTGTGAGCCGCCCAGAGTCCCCCACTGGGGGGAGATGGGCGGGGGACAAATTTGATAAATAAAAATAAAAAAAAATACTGTTTCAGTATTTTTTCATGTTTCAGGCGCTGCATGTGACATGATCAGAACAAACCAAGCTGCCGTTTTTAACACGGTTCATGCTTTGCCCACACATAAATTGGGATAGTCACTATCAAATATAGGTGTGGATAAGAACACTAAATGTCATTTTTTGGAGGGAGGAAGTGACTGGTGACCTTCTCATCAGGATCTAGGTTATTTCCCACCATCTCAAGGGGAGAAAAACAAGGGAGTTTTCGCTTCTTTCATGTAATCACCATAGAGCAAAGGAGAACTTTAACACAGGCATTTGACAGTGAGCATTTGCATCAATAATAATGTAAAGTTGTGCAGATTCATTTTGCCAGTGTAATAAGGTGGATGCTCTCTTTTACCAGTCCTGGGTCATAACTGGTGATCACTTGCTTTGCTGGAATAATATTTCTTCCCAAGTTTAACACCAGTAGCCAAGTAACACATGCTGGGACCTGGATTTCTCCCTGACTTCATTATGTCTCATAATGAAAAGCAAGGAAAAATAAAATAAAAAGAAATAGTGTCAGAAAATCAGTTTGGTACAGCTATTCTAACCAAAGAGTAGTCTATGGTCTAGAGCAGTGTTTCTCAACCTTGGGAGCTTTAAGAGATGTGGACTTCAACCCCCCAGAATTCCCCAGCTGGCTGAGGAATTCTGGGAGTTGAAGTCCACACCTCTTAAAGCTCCCAAGGTTGAGAAACACTGGTCTAAAGAAGTAAGTTCTATCTTGAGTTGTGTAGCTCTGGGCAACTTCCTTTTCATTCTTAAAATAGGAAGAGTAAACATAATTAATATACAGGATTGGGGGATTGACCAAAGAAGGATTTAATTATCTATTTTGAGTGGTTTCATGCTTTTTTAATCATTTTGACTCTAAGCAGCCCCCAAGAAACAAAACACTATACAACAACAGCAGTAATAATAGCAGCAGCAGCAGCAACAACAACAACACAATGATTAAAAGACATAAAAATATGTTGTAACAAGAATGATGCATTCAAACAATGATAATTATAGAACATAGCACTGGCATCATCAGAAAAACGTATCACACACCCAGGAGCCTGTAACCACTCACCCCTCAGTCCTCCAATGCACATTGGAAAATCCATGTTCCCAGATGTTGCCTGAACATCCCATGCATATTAAAGGTGAGGGCATGAATCTTATGTCTGCTGGAAAGGCCTTCCACAGGAAGGCAGCTCTGGTAGAGAATGTTCCATTTATAATAACCAAGAAAAGGTTTCTCAGATTGGGGACATATAAATTGCAGAATTAATAGCCCTAATGTACGAACAGCATAATTAGTGCTGGATGATGTTTTTGGTGATCAAGCAGCTAAGATAAAATGGAGGTATGAATTTATGTCTCCAAGATGGCACTGAACCAAAACGCTAGGCTGCCTCTCACTGTAATTATCTTAGTTCCTGTCTACTGCTTCTGAAAAACTCATTGAGAAGTTACTTCATTAGATAAGACAATGACCCAGCAAGAATGTACAACAAATGTTCTGTCATTCTGACCTGTTGCTTGAAAAGAGGAAAGCTGATGATCATGCCCATGGATAACATATGCAGCCACAGAAACAAATGGGCACATGTGTATTAGTGTGGTGTAGTGGTTAGAGTATAGACCAGGTTCAAGTCCACCATGAGTCACAGAAGCTCACTGGATAATTTTGGGCCAGTCACCGTCTGTGTGACCAACCTATTCCACAAAATTGCTTCAAGGATAAAATTGTAAGGGATATTTTATGAATGACACCTTAAAATCTTTGAGGAAAGACAGGATAAACATTTAACAGATAATTAAAATTAAACATGGGAATCACATTAAATCCAAATTTGGCTTTGAATGTTTGGCTCAACTCTATTTTACAAAGGTTTCCTGGCTGGTGGACAGCAATGCCCCTGTTTTTCCTCTCTTTATTTTCACATACAGCACAAAACAGCATGTGAGTATTAGTTACAAGAATGAACTCAAAAAATCAAATGTACCTTTCAGCCTACTACAAGTGGGATTTATATCTTCATGAGGTCTCATTTTAAAAGCGTTGATTTAAGCTCCATATACAGTATATAAATAAATAAAAGTTCCTGCCTCTCAATAGAGTAATCTCTAGCCATCCCAACATGGCATTTCTAATTTAATAATAGTTTCCTCTATAGATAACAGAACATATAATAAAAATGCAATAAAACTTCATTTGAAACCTGTATCTATTGTTGGAAGTAATATGGCTGCTTTCGCAACACATGAAACCTGTTAACTGATCACGGTAACCCATTTTTGGGTCTGCACAGTACACTGAACAATAACCTAACCCAGTGGATTGCACATCATGAGTCAAAATGAACACACACATGTTGCCAAGTTTAACACTAACCAGCTTGGCATATTGTACACATCAACTACAAGGTATTTAACTGTCCTGGCTAAATGTTTGTGTGAACACAGACACAATGTAAAAGATAAAGGATTGTGTGTTCTCCCAGAGATCTTGCCTTTTAAAACCTGTGCTACATATCTCACAAGACCTTCAGCATTTCAGCCATGTTGTCTTACAAGTGACCCTAGTGTTGGGATCTTTTTTCCCCATTCCAGCCTTCATGCTTTCCAACACCCCAAAACATAAAAATCCCATTTATTCAAGAAGCTAGAAATAAGCAGAAGACAAAGGACCCAGCTGCTGGAAGAAAGCTAATGAGATGAGAGGGGTGTGTACAGCTCCTGGCATTGGGGACCCTGTCGCTCCATCTTGGCGCCAGCGATCAGGAGCAATTAGCTGCTTCCTGACAACATGCATCTCAAGAAGGGGAGGAGCAGTTCTCTTGGCAGGGGGTGCATCAAAGAAAGCCATGGGGGGAGAAATCTGGAGACGCATCTGCCCTGAACTGTCCTTGCAGTCCGTTGAAACTAACTGAATGCTCCACTTGGAGCCATCTTTGGTCACCCAGCAGTTTTGTGGAGCTAGTCAGCAAGAGAAAGAACGAGATTGTCCTTCCCTTGGCCTGTTCTCTCAGAGCTATCAACCTGTCTCCCAATCTTTGGCTCTCCTTTACAAGCAAAAGAACTGCCACCTTCGCTCAAACATCATTCCTGCAGAAGATAGTTTTGGTCTGCCATTCTCCTTGGGGATCAAGTCGGCAGAAGGTTGAAGGGGGAGGAGCTGTCCATTCAGGACCACAGCCCTGTCTCAGCCGCACTCCAGCAAACCATTTCTGTAAAAGGGATTGCACATGCATGCGCGTGTGTGTGTACAAAATATCTTCTCCATTGTACATGCACCACTAAAAGTGCTTAGTTTCCTGAGTGCAAGGCTGGGATTCAACCAGGCCCAGTATTGACTCTTCCTAAAGTCTATAGTATGTAAATGGATGCACACATGGAAAGCACAGCTGAGGAGAGTCTCAAAGATGAATTAAAACATAGATTTTGAGCCACAGACCCAATTTTGCAGTAGATTTGTCTTCCAATAAATGAACTGCCCCTCCACAACACAAATCTGTGCAAAGGAAAAATATAGTTGGTAGAGTAATCGCAAACGGGACAGGTGGGAATTCTGTAGTGGGGAAGCTAGCAGTTCCTAAATTTCCAGGATAGAAGGTTCCCCCCTTCTGCCTTATTAGATGGGAAAATAAATACCTCAGCTTCAGGTATACTTGGTATATTTTAAATTCTTTCTGAAGATAATTCAGTGGGACAGTGGAAATCTGGATCTGGCAGGTGGAAAGCCTTCTTCATCTGCCCCTCAAATCCTGTTTTTACCCATCCTTGCAAAAACACTGCACTGGAATGTAGTTAGTTGTAATTATTTTGATTGCTAGCCCCCTTTCTGTTCTAGTGAGCATTTTAAAACAGAAACAATATAACAG